ACCTTTAATATCATCCTAACCAAAAATGTCAATTTCCTCGTTGTGTAAACAGGAAGTTACACAGTGCACATCTACTCTAGGGACAACATATTATGAATATCTGACCATCAGTCTCTCTCAAACTTATTTGCCTAGAAATTGCTCCTCCATCCCTTCCCATTTGAGATTCTTCTCGCTCAGGGCTGCCGTCGACTCCAACGTATTGATGACTGGTTTGCCTCCCCAGACGAATGCATTAGTAATCTGCAGGCGAGGCTGCGTTGGGAAGAAGGAGAGAGCATCTCATTACACTCTGCAAACATCAACAGGCATGTACCATATTCATCGACCTTATCAGAGTGGTGCTCATCAGGGGCCTGGGCTCTTATGCCCTTCAGCCTGGCTCCAGTAGTCCCACTCTGCCTTATTAGAGTACCAGTGAGGCCTTCTTATCACCATGGCAATCTGCGCCTCATAAACAATGCAGCAGCCATGGGAGATCCACCTGGACCAGAGGAGACGGAGAGATTTAGGCGTGGAGGACATGTGAGGCATGTTCACACACACACACACACACACACAAATTATTGTATCATTTGCACAGTCTACATAAAACGAGGGAACGAAATAGTAAAATGTTCTGATCTATTAATAAGTCATGGGATTGAATTGATCTTTTGTGGCCATATACATATTTTGTTCTCCGCATGTCATGTGCAGGGCTGAATATATAATACAGAATATGTTTTGAAATATTATTACAGTTTAAAATAAGTTTTCTTTTTTCATTTATTTTAAAATGTAATTTATTACTGTGATGGCAAATCTGAATTTTCAGCAGCCTTACTCCAGCATCAGATAGTCATTCAAAATCGAAATCATTATAATTTGCTCATTTGGAGCTCAAAAAAGTTTTTAATATGTAAAAAGATATGTATTACAACAATGTAAACGAAAATGCAAACAAATTTGACAAAATTTCATTAATTTAATTTAATTTCTACTTTCAAATCCTCCAAAACTGGCCCCATTTCCATCCACTATGCCTAACCATAATCTTGATTTTTGTTTTTTACCCCCATCTAGCAGTGAAAAGGTATATGACCTTCCAGGGAATATTAGTTTCTGTTCCTCTCAATTCTGATTTCGTTTTAACTCCTACGGTGGCCAGTGTAGGCCAAGATTAACATGGCTTCCAGTTCGACCTCGTCCATGAGTGTTAACTCAAACGTAAACGCGAAAGGCGAAGCTTGAATTAACGGGTATGTCCCTCTTTGGCTAATGTACTTTCAAGATGGAGGGGCAACATGGCGACCGACATTAGAACCCCTTACCCGTATGTATTATCAATGGCATATTATACACTCACGAGAATACTTTATTATTTGAACAAAGTAAATATACATTAATGAGCACATATTTTTGAAAGAACTAAGTGTTTTTAGCTGAGAAAAAACTAAAAGAGTTACACAGTGTAGCTTTAATTAAAGAAAAGGAGACTAGTGGAAATGAATTTATCTTGTAATCATCATGTCAATCACGCTTTATAATTCGTCAAGTAAATAATTGACTTTGTATAAAATTAGTGCAATCTTTCAAATTGTTGTGCATTCTCCCTACAGCTTCTTATAAATAATTCTGACAGGATTGAGAAATCAATCAGTTTGCTGAAGTCTATTTGCATTCCTATAGTCGTCAATCTCAGAGGAAAACCCATACGGCATCCAAACAAAGCTTCATGCTGAGCCATATCTGGGCTGCGGAAGGCGGTCTACTAAAATCAGAAGTGTGATCTGTTGTGCTTCCCACACTCTTTCATGCCTCTCGCCCTTTTAAAGCGGACCACATCAAAGTGTGAATGTGTGGCAGCGACTGCCATAAACACTGACGAAACAATAAAGCGAGTGTAAACGATTTCACTGGGACTTTAATACCAGTTCTAAGAGAAAATCTCCTCTTTTCACTCTGTCCTTCCGTCGCTTTTCTCTCCCTCTCAGGTGGTAGGCCGAAGTGACAGATGGAGGTGTGTGGCCTCTACTTTTCAGCATCCTACTTTCTCTTTAGTGTTTTATTTTGCCTCGTATATTTAATGGGACGCTCTGCGGTGCCTCAGCCCTGACCCCACAGAAGTGCTGACTGGCAGTGATGGAGGGTCGACACGGGTCACCAATGCCTCTATCAGTCGCTGACACCGTCTGTCAGGCCAATGCACGGGGAGGAACAGAAGCCAAAGAGGGGGATTGTGGGACAGCACTAATCTCAATGGCTTTAGTTTAGCTACTCATTTGCCTGAGTAGCCAATGTCCTTCGCACAGGTGGGCAGTTACAGTAGTTGACCACAGCGATGAGGAAAAAACAAATGACTCTGACAGAGAAGGGAAAATCAATCTGTTTGCAGTGAATTAATCTACATTACCACTGCAGCAGATCCCGCGGCAACCGAGAGGAACATCCATTATCTTTCGTGTGAGGGACTCTGTTATTGGCTAAGTAAAATGATGTATTGACTGATAAAAGAAGCAGCGTGCGTGGTTAGCTCTACTCTCGGAATACCGTAGCTAGCAGGTCCCGCTAGGCGGTAGAGCGGATGCTCTGCTTTCCTTCCTTTCCAACTCCCCAGCCGAAATCGAAATCCCACCGCTCCACGTGCATATGCTGACCGCAGCTATTGATTTCTACATTATTTGTATAAAAACGCGATTGGAAGAAAGGCACGCAGTCAAACCCCATTTCTGGAGTGCTAAAATCTGCACCTTACACCCACACAGCATTAATTTGAATTGATCTGGGAATGACTCAGCATCTGTGTCAGATATTTCCTTGTGTGTTGAAAGGAAAGGGGAAAATGGGAAAAAACAGATGGCAGAAGGTAATAGACCCAAGGCAATATCCTTTTAGTTCTGGATGGTGTATTTACAGAGAACATTAATACTCGGGATACGAATCATGTTCAAAGAGGCCACGCTGTGGCAGATGGCCATTTTCTACAGATCTACCGTGAGTAAGTGACACAGGCATTTTCTGTATCCACAGACATATGCAGCAATTACAATCTGAGAGGTGAGCGTAGAGCTCTAAATAGCTTTTTTCATTATCTGGCTAAATGGTTTAAAATGAATAAATTCATTAACTGTCTTTATAATTCAAATAGCTCAGCCACTTGTGCCGCTGAAAAGCCACAGTGATGATATCACATCATCACTGCTGGAGTCCTTAAGCTTTTAAATGTCAGTGACCTGAGGAATTTCATTTACACTGTATTGCTATTACCAATACATTAGTGCATTTCTTATGCCACGATTTCCATCCTCTTTCTGCACCTTCAATGATTCTAAATAATTAACAGCTAGTTCAGAGTGTTCTCCACATCATGAATGCAGCTGCTCTTTCCTAGCCTATGCTACTCTGTTCTGCCATGCACGATTCAGTCCCCCTTGGATCCCTGATGCCTCTTGTGTTCTTCTACAATAGCTAATCAAAATGGCCCTTTTGTCGCAGTGGTAGCCTCTTCTAGCTACTATTTTATATCTGTTACGCTCAGTTAAAACTAATTCACACTGCACTGACAGACATAGACTATCACCAGACTACAGTCTGTCACTTTTCAAACATTCCATGATCTGACAAATGCTGATTGAACATGTGCAGACCGGGAGTAACACTGATCCGGCTAAACCCTTACGAATGTGTTTGTTGATGTCAAGTCTGTGCACTGAAAATACGCCTTTAGCAGCTATCATACAAGTGGTATTTGTAAATATCAGCATTTAAATATAGTTATGATTATAGTAATGTGTAGGGCATGCTTGAAGAGCAGAATAATCAGTTAGAACTAAGCTAGCATGCTAACCAGTTGACGTAAACAGTCAGCTTGCAAAAAAAAAAAAAAAAAAAAAAGAAGCTAAAACTACCTAAGACAGTGTGCCATTACTTGGTTCTGTCATGCAAAATTCAGCCCCCTTGGACCCCAAGGAAATGTCTATTGTTACCATGCTATGATCTACTGTAGCTAATAAAAACAGCCCTTTCTGTTGTCCCTGTGGACAACTGTGGAAGCTTGTAGCTGTAGTACTCTGTTATCTCTGTTACACTCTGTTAGCAGTATGTTTGCTATCAAACAACAATAAATGTATTAACATTTGAATGCTGTTATATGTAGTAGCCTTAATTTGTCAAAATGGCCCTTTTGTCGCAATCTTCATTGCAATTTAAGTGAAATTACTGAACTTAAATATACAAGCTTGATAAAAAATATCATTCTAGAAGAAAATTTCAAATGGCACTTAGAGGCTTTTGCATCTGAACTCTTCAAATATATATTATGTTCTCATACTGTTGAGAGAAAATGTTCTTAGAATAACATTCTCAGAACATCCTTAGCCTATATGTCATTCTAGTCAGAATGTGAGTCTGATACTGCTCCATTGGGCTATGATAATGGGGCATTTCAACCGAACAGGGAAAAACAATGCCTCTACACTCAATTGGATAAACCTAGAACTGAGCAAGGGGGTAAGTGACGTATGTTGAATCCTGTAGGAAGGTCGGCAAAAACATCTTTCCAATCAGCAAATGCCTTGATCACAGTTCTCTGTTCCTCCTTTAAAATGAATGCGCTGTCGATATCTTTTATAACAGACGTGATGGCAGAATCTACACATCTCAATTCTCCAGTGGCAGACACCTTTGTTGTAAACGAATTCAACCCAATTCTTTGTTGACGTGGATGATTACGTTACTGTTGATCATCTGTCCATCATTGTATAAAGCCCACCCTGACAATTTGATTGGTCAGAACAGCTTTGGTTCGAGCATAGTTACTCCACAACGGATCAATTCCAGATCTCAAATGTTGTGGGCGGGGCTAAATTTGGCTGGTATCCAGGCTAGTTCCAGTGTGGATGATTGCTACTTTGACAAATTCGAATCTTGTTTATGGACTGTCTGTTTGCAGCTCTGGTTGTTGCCTGGATACCCACGACCCTCTGTATGGATGTCACACAGGTGATGGAGAAATACTTTCTGCTGATTATCTGGTTCAAGATCGAATCAATGTCTGATTATTACTGCAATTAAAAATCATGCCATGTTTGATCCCATTGCATTGTCATACTGTGGTAGAGCACATTTGCTTACTTCAAAAACAGCGTTTTCATTATCCTGAAAAACTGAGATGTTGAAAAAATGTATATTATAGGTCTTTATAAATAATATTCATATATTTAAACACACTCACACACGTTTTCATCCACGTCATAGCCTACCAACAATAATATATTCTTCTAAGCACAGGCCATGAGCTAGTTTCAGAAAACACAGAATCTTTGAATTGTTGGTAACAATGGAACTTGTGACCATATCTGGTTAACAACACATTTGGGAAACACGGAATATCCATAAATTTAGTTTTAGACCAAGGGGGACTAAATTCTAAAGGAGAGCCAAATCGTTCCTGTTGTTTTAGCCCCTCCGCCCGTATTTAATGGCTCCCCCGTTCTCCATCACACCCTCATTACCTCCCTGCGTCTCGGATCTCCCGAATGGATGGCTAAATCACACCCGAACAGCTTGCGTCCTCCTGAAACCACGTTCTGTTTTACAGGCGTTCCGCAGAGGCTCAGAGATGGATGGAAGTGGAGTATTAACATGCGGAGTTCAAGGCTCGCTCTCCAATCGAGTCCAGTGGTGGAGATCTAATTACAGAATCTGAACAGAGGTAGAGGGTCAATAATGAATGTTAATGTACAGTTTTTCAGTCGCTCCGCTATTGTGAGCTTTTCATCCGTGTGGGCATGCGCTCGAAGAAATCGACCTTGTCAAAGATGACATGGCAGCCTGTCTGGCATCTGCCCTGGCACCTCTGATGAAGGTCACTCAGCCCCGGTGACAGCGATGAATGCAGCCACACTGATTGTGCTAGGAGTCTGATGATTAAGGGAACTTTAAATGAGGTTTGGCTCAGCTCGCAGTGGAGTCTGCACTGACGCTCTTTATGCGAGGGTATTAAAGAGCTGTTCCACGAATGTCCTCGGGGTCCTTTGTAAGGAATGATGAAAAATGAAAATGAATCTTTCATGAGATTTGGCACAGTTGACTGGACCATATATTTTGTTGTGATTTGCAATAACAAAAGAGCAGAATGACATTTTCCTGCCTTGTACTGAATTTATATTGTGATTAAAATGGGTATATAGATTTTTTTTTTTGCCTTGCGTTACAAAAGATCAAAGGCCATCTAATGGCATGGGCCCTGAAAATGGCATTAGTAGGTCAAAATATCATTAACCTTTCAGAGCAGTCCTGGTGTCCACATCTCCTCCCTCCCTTCATGCAAATTCCATGACACCCAGAACAACAGATATAAATATGCAACTCAAAGGAGGGAGAGACTATATGAAACCTATGAGTCAAAAAGATTAATTTTTCTTCCTTGCAATGTATGATGCTTGTAGCACACAGTTCAGGGTGTATTGGATGCAGCTGTGTTGTATGAAATGCTATTCAGTGCCAAGCAAAAATGGTCACGCAATACTTGCTGTCACAGATGGAACAGGAGTCAGACAGGTAGTAAGTGAAAGTATGTCTACAGGTTGCAGATCCATACTGAGATATGGTGATGCAAGCAGACGATATTCAGGATGGAACTTGGCTGACGGATAACAAGAGACTTTGTTTACAGATGCGGATGGAGTCACCGGGAACAGGCTGATGACCGGAGACTGGACTTCCGTGTGAAGGTTAGCAGGTGATCGATAGAACTCGGGTAGGTAGCGGGCTGGTAGCGGGTAGGAAGCGTGATAGTCTGTAGTGTCATGTAGAGACGAGACAAGAAAATGACTGTGCGAAGAGGAGTTGAATACATACGGAGGAGAACTGATGAGGTGCAGGTAATGGTATTTAAAAGTCAGGGGACTGTGAACGAGTGGGAGGAGTCAGTGAAGCTGACATGCTTTGTGTATAGAGGGTATGCGCGTGACGTCACCGTCGACCGGAGTGCCTGCAGTTACTCACAGTGAGTGGCAAAAAGACTGAGCGGCTGTATTTGTTGTTAGCGTGAATGCCACGCAAAACAAACACAACACATATAAAGTGGGAAAGAGCTTTGCGATTGACTGTACAACTAGATTTGACAAAAATCGGAGGTATGTTTTTACAGACTACTATAGAAAGAGGAGCAAATGGAATGATGCAATTCACAAATACAACTGGACTCCAGACAGCGAAAGGTGGATTTACAGTTATCATTTTTTTATTCAGTTATTATATATATATATAAACAACTTATCAATTAAATATGTATCATTGCATATTCTGCATTATTGGATGTTTTTTTTTTTAATAAACACTGACCTAAAACAAAACTATACATTTTTAGGGCTGGACGATATGATGGTACTGTATATATACCGTAGGCTATATATAACACTGATATAAGTGATCACTCGGATTTAGACCTATCTATATTGTATTTATATAAAGCCTTCAAGGGCAAATTTGCTTTATGTTTAGGTCTATATTGCTTTTATTTCCCCGCTGTCGAAATCAGACAAACATTAATGTCAGGCAACACGATTCCTGGCTGCATGTCATATCAATGGATCACTGGATATTTAGTAAGTTGTAAGGAACATTATATTGAGTCCAACATTTAGTTTAAATTGATAAAATTGTTTGTTTTAGTCGCATTTTCGAAATTTCCCCTATTCAATCCAGTCACGCAGCAGATATTTTGACACTCAGTCAGGCTGAGGGGGGTTGTTCCGGCGGGAAAGTGACGTCAATGCATTCCCTCTATTAAGATTTAACCACCTCTATTTTGAGCGTTAGAGCATCAAACAAAAATAAGAAATAAATCATAAAAAAGAGAATCCATTGGAGGGGTGATTAAAATGATTATTGTTATTTGTTTATTAATATAATTACTGTTTCCAATTGTGATTCATTGGGGTATTGTAATTTGTAATGTCAATTTTGTTGTTTGTCCGGTTTGTTTTTGGCATGCAGTCTGTGAGAATATGTGATTATGAAGACGTGTATTGCCATTATGTAATTGGCATGGTAGACACAATGGTACACATATGGTTTTCCAAGTTTTATAGGGACTTTCCACAGACATAATCATTTTTTTACGGTATAGCGCATATTCTTAACCCTAAAAACAACTTTAACAGAAAACTTTCTACATTTTTACATTTTAAAAATAAATTTTAGTTCGTTTTTTAAGCTGTTTTCAAACAAACAAATGCAAACAATGTCCCCACAAGATAAAAAAAAAAAAACTTTCTGGTATTTCTATTCTTGTGGATTCAATGTAGGGAACACCACACACCCATTCATGTGGATAGTATGTGTATTTGACAACTGAAGCTTGAGATTTTAAGAATCAATGTCCATATTATCAATATATTTTTGACCATCTCTAATCCTTCTGTTTGTTCCTTTCCCTGAGGTCAGCAAAGCCTGTAAGAAAACTCAATCCATACTTTGTTTCAAAAATTTCAATATGTACTTTTTTTTGTTGGAACCTATTGAGTTTGTTCTGAAAACCAGTGAGGCATGTAAAAACCATTTCCCATTAATCCTGCGTCAGAAAGAGCCCTGGACAGATAAGGGCTGACCTACGGGCAATAAATCCTCACCCTCCTTCAGTCGGTCTCTATGTTTGGGCTAATTGCTCCGGCTGCATTACGGCAGCTGACCACATAAACAGTGTGGCTGTGAATCTTTTCGGTCTCATACGTTGGATGTGTGCGTGCCCATTCTCTGTGTGTGTGTGTGTGTGTGTTGTGTGCCATGCATGGGTGGTTTGCTCCTGCACTCTGGCTCCGTATTTCGCTGACTGTGCAGCGTCGTGGAGATGAGGCTCCTCCACAGTGGGACAGTGGGAAAATTACTGCTGTCATTCCTGCATTGGCTGACTGGCATTGGATTTGTGGTTGTACAGAAAAATGATGTGATAGATTTATTCTCCAACAGGGTGCACGGCCATTATGATGTGCATAGCAATCAGATACTTTCTCAATTTTAAGAATAAACCTATCAATCTCACCTTCGCATAGATCTGCCTTTGAAATGCATTGCAGTGGACCATTATTTCTGATGTCTAGAGTACATTTCTGGTTTTCCCTGGCAGGAGATGCGTGCATAGGAAAATCAATAAAGCACATTTAAACAACTCCTGTTATAAATATTATACAAACTACATCCCTTGTTCATTTTGTCATTCCTTATTCAGTGTAGCTAATCTAAACGGATGGGAATGCAATACCACTTGCCAAAGCACAAGGCAGCTGAGAGCATTTTGAGGAAAATTGCCATCATTTGGCTCTCAACCATTGCACATGGAAAGTGGAGGTCAGAGGAGTAATTTGTAGAAATTGGCAGACTCTGTCAGACGCTGCTATTTGTGCAGTTCCTTATGCCGGCCAGAGATGGCAGGAGTGAGCTCTGTTATGTTGAGTGCTGTGTTCTCCTCCCAGCCTTCTACAAATGATCTGTACTGGCTTTTGAAGTGTCACCATCTTCTTGTTTACAGTAATGCTATTAGAGGGGATGGAGTCACAAAACAAGGAAAAAAGCAATGTCAAATGAAAAACCGTACACCATTGCAGTGTTTGGGAGAGTGCAGTTGTGCCGGATCTGACTTCTCTGCTAACTTTGACTGTATGAAAGATTAATTACACTGAACATCAAATGCTCTCTCAGCCAAGTCAGACAATCAAGAACCTTCCAACTTTAATGATGGCGTCCAAAAGGACAATGCTAGAATTATAATTCACAATCGCTTCAGGAATAATTAAAGAGTGTGTTCACGTGTGCCTGCTTACGCTAGTATGTCTGCTAAGGACGGGCAGTAATTTGGCTTTTATTCAAAGCAGACGCTTCCAATTCTGCTGTGCTTCAGGGAGCAAGGGACATAAATTACTTTAAAGAACAATACCAGATGTAAGCAAGGGTATTGTTAAAGGTTCATGATGCACTAAAGAGGTTTGGTGGCCTGCTGCATGGAGTGTCAATGCGAGTCATGCTAGTCTCCCTGTGTTTAAAGAGCAGGCGACGAGCGCCTCAGGATAAACATGCCGCTGACAGACATCACTCAAACTCAAAACTGTGATTTCTCCACTGGGTGGAGGCTGCTGTGAGACAAATTGAGCCTGGTCTTCAGAGAAATGCACGGTATGGTCTCATCTGCGACATGTCCTGATGTGGTTCTGTGCGTGTTTGTTTGGCGTTCATGTGCAGTGCATTCACGTGGGAATATTTGCATCATAAGGTGTGTTATATTTTTTATTTTTCTGACCAAATACAGTGGGGTTCAAAATGCCTCTGATGATATAGAATTGAATTTAAAGGGGTGATGAATCAAATTTTCCTTGAGCTTTTGACATCTAAGAGGTCATCATATTATAAGAATATCCTGTAGGTTTCAAAACTGAAAACGTCCTTGTTAGTCCAATAAAAGCTTCTATTGACACCAGCCTCAGCAAACGGCACGTTTTTCAAAGTGGGGAACTATGACGACAAAGAGGATAAAACACCACCCCCGCAGAACAAGAAGATCAATGAGGCCAGTTTAGCCCCGCCCACCGATTCGCGCATTCATGCATAGGTAAATAACATAGGCCTACCTCGTGATGACAAACCTGATCGAGTGCAGTGCCTGGTTGTGGAAGAAGACAGTCGCTGCATATATGCTTCCTCTGGATTCCAATAGGACTGCATGGATAAACTTTTTTTTTATTGACGTTCAAGCGGATGAGGTGAACCATTTTCCGTCTGTTCGCTTCATTTCACTAAGGATTGTTTTTTAAACAAGACTGGATTTGCAGACCGATTAAGAGTAAAGAACAGTGCTGTGCCGTCTATATTGGATCTGACAGGATCTGCAACACATGGACTCTGGGTCGAACATGTATGAGCGAATCTTTCCGGTTGCCATTTTACAACATTGGACGTTTTCAAAACAATTTCCCACAAGTGCATCGATGGGTGAGTTGAAACTCATTATAATATGCAAAACTGTTCTCCACTCGCAGCAGTGGGCGTTTACTTCCAAGTCTTCAGTGCGTGACGCCCATTAAAACCGAGCGTTTTTCAGCTAGGCTCAAAACTAGGGTACAAAATAGTCTTTTTTTACTTATTCATTTTGATGTTTTAGAATGCAAAAACCAAGCGAACGTCATAAGTTGGCCTCAGACAACAATATAATAAAATTTAAAAAGCCAGTTTTCATAGTACAACAAACAAGCAATCACAGTATTACCTCATGGCACAAGCTGAAACCTTTGATCCTGAAGTCAATGACATTGCTTGCTCAGCATTTAAATATTCTGTAAGTCGGAGTTCCTTTGAAATCCTCCTCCTCCCCCAGCTCCACCTGCTTAGATCTGCTACGGGATTTATGTCTGTCTTTTTAATTCAGCAGTAGCATATCATACATTTTCACAACAGCGTGTCTGTGTATCTATTAGCAGTAGCAAATCCGTACATCAACAGCAGCAGCAGCGTAGCATGTTCAGTTGCTCTATTTTTCAATTCAGTTCAATTATGTTGTTAATTAATGCTAATATATCTGCAATATAATTTTTTTTCAGACTGTATATTATCATTTTATGACGCCTGAACATTTAAGATTCTTGGTTTTATTTTTGGTGTTTTGTAAGAAAGAAAATATTAATGCATATTTAATATCCATTTACTGGTGACCAGCCATAAGTTAACATGAAAATAATAACAGCATACCAATTGCAACATGCTGAATTC